GGTGTCATTATCAATACTAAATCACTTCAAATACAACCACTTTCATCTAAAAGTGTTTACGTACACATGACGTCAAATAAGCCGCCTTTCCTACGGCTCTTCAACTTCACAGACAAACACGGACACAAACAGACAGACAGACAGACAGTCAGGGTAAGAAAAGACTCAAAATATCATTCTATATTAAGAGTAAACACACTCGAGAAAATACAACCGACTGTCACGAAAAATAGTCAGTCATAACTGACAATCAAATAATCAATACTGTCAACTGTGTACTTCTGTTTTGCTTCAATTCTCACATTCGGACAGTCGGGCAGTCAATAATAACACACAGAGTTACAGGAAACAAGAATCATCATTTGTCATTCGGAGCCGATGACTCTTTATTAAATGTTTGAAAAATACTGTTGCAGTTACAAGGTTTTTTCGTCTTCATTTCTAAATACGTTGAGTATTTTTGTTGTCGGTTATTTTGAATGCAAATCGAATCGTCAAATTGGCATAAATTAAAAATTTCATATTGGCTGGTTTATTTTTCCAGATTTCAGATAAGAATAGAAAAGTGTATTCTATTTATATCGTCTGGAAAGAGTTAATTTTAGCCTATATTAATAGATAGCCTCGCCAAGTTTACTAGCTTGCTAGTTTTTTTTAGCCCGTCCCAAGGGGTGGGTGGATGTAATGCAAGCAATCTTACCATGCAAAATCAATCAGAAACTTCAATGCACAATAAAAATATTAAAAATTCCAAGAAAAATATAAAAAAATTAACTCATTCTTCGTTTGAAATGTTGAGAAAAAATGACACATTGGGTTGGTGAATGCTTACAGTAAACTAGTCAACCAGCCTATGTGTCTATTTTTTATCCCCATGACAGCAAGAATAAGAATGGAGATGTGGAATGTTCGTACAGTGTATGTGGCTGGAAAGGCTGCCCAGGTATCCAGAGAAATGAGAAGATATTGTAACAACAGAAGACAAGGGCCAGGCAACAGATCGTTTTATTATGAAAATCAACACGTATTTATATATATTTCACATACATTATTACAGCTTATGCAAGTAGACAAGCGCAGTCATCTGATTGGTTGTTTATCAGAAGTTAGGCAGACAAACGCAGGCTTCGGATTGGTTGTTTAGGGATTCTTCGACAAATAGAGTTCTCTATCTGCGAATCATATTTTGCCACGTTAACTTTGCTTTGATTGGTTGTTAAATCAGCCTTGTACATATTTTCTCACGGCCTGCTCTCACCACACTCGTCCCCCCGTCAAAGACTTGCGACCGAAGTCTGCTTGATCTTCTTGGTGCAGGCGCCATCGTTGGCTTGCCTCGCTGTATCCATTTCTGGAGCTCGCTGACGTTCACGCGCCTCTCATTGTTCGCTATTGCGACTGTGTCTGCGTAACCCCATCTCGACGTGACCATATGTGGTCCCAACCACTTTGGAAACTGTTTGCCTGACCCTGTAGAACATTCGTCAGTATTTCGTCTCACACTTTCATATGCTGCTTTCGCCCGACCTCCCAGCAGCGTTCCAAGTAGCAGCTCCGTCGCTGACAGATCTTGAACGCCACTCAACTGCGCAGAAGCCTTGAAGTCCTGCCCGAAGATCCATATGTCTCCATCAAAAACAGCAGGGCATAGGCTTTCCATTTGTCGGTAGGCAGCGACACCAAATGTAACAACAGAAGACAAGGGCCAGGCAACAGATCGTTTTATTATGAAAATCAACACGTATTTATATATATTTCACATACATTATTACAGCTTATGCAAGTAGACAAGCGCAGTCATCTGATTGGTTGTTTATCAGAAGTTAGGCAGACAAACGCAGGCTTCGGATTGGTTGTTTAGGGATTCTTCGACAAACAGAGTTCTCTATCTGCGAATCATATTTTGCCACGTTAACTTTGCTGTGATTGGTTGTTAAATCAGCCTTGTACATATTTTCTCACGGACTGCTCTCACTACAATATGACAGAGAAGTGCTGGTGATCTGCGAAAGCGGATGGAATGCATATGAACTATCGAAACTGTCAACTGGTAAGCCTATAATTTTACTCCTGCCTGGTCACCTAGACGACAATCATGAACACACTGAGGTAGTGGGTGGCTATCATGATGTTAACAGTGGCAGTCAAATCCCTAATGCAATGGAAACCAATTTCATCCTGCAGGATCATGACAGCGATATTCAACTCAAAAACACGTAAGGTTACAATTTTCCAATGCTATACACCTACAAACAACGTGGAACAAGAGAAGACGGAAGAACTTTACAGACAAATACAAACAGTTATGGACAACACCTTAAATAGTGACATCAAAATCCCTATATAAAAAATGACTGCTAGCTGAAATGGGAGCAAATAATACAGGAAGAAAATACATCATAAGTCGAGAGACTCTCGATTGGAGAAATGAATGGAAACAGAGAACTCTTTACAGACTTCTTCGCTTTCAATGATTTCCCTGATTACAGGCAACGTGTACAAACATAAGAATGTACATAAGGCAACATGGATTTCTCCTGACGGACACATCAGAAACCAGATAGACCTAGTCTCATTGCTTCTCAAGAAAGTGGAGACGCGGCTAGCTCGCTGGACAATACGTCTAGAAGGGGAACAGATGTGGACTCAGACCATAATGTAGTTTGAGAAACCTTCATGTTGAAGCTGAATTCCTCCAGAACAACTGGAGACAGGCTACTGTAATTCAATTTCAATATTCAGAAACTGAAGGACAAAAGCAAAATGGATACCTTGACTACAGATCAGGTCAGAGCAAAGTCGAAGACACTACGTGTTGTCACTGAGAAAACGTGAGTGGAAGAACATTAAAACTCTCTGAAGGCTATATTTAAGGAAACGTGTATGAATGTGCCAGGAAGAAAGAAGAGGCAAGACAAGAAATGGCTCTCAACGAAAAAACGAGGATGATAAAAGAGAAGACGACTCACTGCAAAGATGGACAAAAGAAGGAGAAGTTGAGTTGAATAAAGAAGGGAAGAAGAAGAGAGCTAGGAAAGATAAAATACAATTCTACGACACACTGGCAACTGAAACAGAACAGGCAGGCTGCAGGCTAAAGAAAGCTCAGAACATGATTTCAGGTAACCAGTTAGACACCCGGGAAAGGTCAACACAGCTGAAGAAAATTTGACTACTTTGCCAACCTGCCAAAGTAGGCCTAGGCCTTCAGAAGAACTGGTGCAGCATTATGCTTTTTTCCAAACCAAGCAGAAGACCAATTTGCGTCATCCTGGAGAGAATTAAAAAAATGCATTTGACGCAGAACTCCACGCCATCGACCAGAAGAAGCTGGATTCAGGAAAGGCAAATCATGTGCTCACCAAACTGCAACTCTACGTATTGTCACAGAAAAAAGCATCGAATGGCGGTCAAACCTCTACCTCAACTTCATCGACTTCGAAAAGGCCTTCGACAAACAGCGTTGACCGAGAAGTAATTTAGAAGCTACTGAAACGCTATGACGTGCAGTGCTCAAGTCCTTATCAATCTCATTCAACAGCTGGCTATATGACAGTGTTACGTGTCAAGTGGCGGTTGACAGCGGAAAACTCAGCGAAGCATTCGAAGTGCATATGGAAGCGAGACAAGCATTCCGCCTATAACCGTCGATGATATTCTCAATTGCGATAAGCTGGATTATGGAGTGAGAGACTAGGGAAATGAGAAGAAAGGAATACGTTTGATTGACAAGAAGACTCTAGAAGATCTGGATTTCGCGTGTGGATGATTTATGTTTGATGTCATACAAACTCGAAGACTTACAGGCAGGTGGAAACTAACAAACTGCCCTAAGACAGGAAGGAATTTGAAATTTGAAAGAGACTACTTCCTTCACTTAATCAGGAAGCATTGTTTGAACAACAGGTGGCGGATTGGATGAAGATGTCAAAATCAGAATCGGAAAGACAAGATAGACCTTCTTAGCTTTGAAGTCATTTTAGAAGTCTACTGTACTCAGAATAAACAACAAAATTTAGATTTTAAACAAAATTATCAAGCCAGTCAATTCACAATATAGTACGACCTCTAGCCAAGGTTGTTCGGCAAGTATGGAGACGCGTGACTGAAGCTTTACGTTCTACATGGAACCTCAGGAAACAATACTTATATAATAATAATTATTTGAATGTCAAATGAGGATAAAAGTAGGTGTAAGGTGTTCTCGCGTACATTACTGCTGTGTAAAATAAAAGGGTATCAGAAAACACTTTTAAAAATGACAAACATAACATCTGATATGATTAAATCATTCCTCTAACCACATAATACAAACTAGTCAAATATTATTAACTACCAGAGGAGATTTAAATCGTAACTGCCCATGTCTTAAGCACTAGTATATCAGCGGTTAGGACTCTCGCCGACCATTTATATGATCCAGGGTTTGGATCCCCGGCCACAGACACATTCCTTTACCTTGCTAAGACAGAAATGAAAGCTGAAAAAAAAGGAAAGGCTGGGCATGAAGTTAGCAACCCCATCCTGCTGCAGAAACTTTAAGCCTCTAGTTTGAACCTGTATGTTCCACTGGGAACATGAAGGAATAAAAAAAGTATCAAGGAGATGGAGACGAAGAGGAGGTGAATTCATTTTACCGATAACTCTTATTGCTCTTCAATCTTAACTGTCTTAGCTGAATGAAAAAGAATTGTCAGGGAACTTTGAAGTTGGGTAAAACGCCACACACACACACACATACACACAAAGCTATCAGGTTTTCAAGCTGGACAAGCCGTTGGACATTTTCATCAAGGTGTTAACGTGTCGGTTATACGCACATTGAAAGAGAAACAACACATAAATAGAAGAGAAGCAGTGGAATAACACTCATTATATAGGCTAAATATAGATATACATATGGATAGGTAGATAGATAGATAGAACATTCAAGCAATTAGTACAACACGTATAGGTGAGTGTGTGAGACAAAGAGAAAGAGAAAGGGGGGGGGGAACTACCTCACGATATAACTCCTGTGGTACTGACATATAAGCAGACGGTCGAGGTACCAAACCTGTATGGAATGTCTATAATAGCATATAAATACAATTATATGTATATAAGTAATTATTTGAATAAAGTCATACCTTGAAGTGAAGGCGAATAGAATATTGAAGTAAAAACTATATTCTTTACTGATATGACAATTACGAATACATATTTATGCATAAGTTGACGGTAATAGTGTCTACTCAAGTCTCGGTTTAAATGAGTGATGAATGAAGGTGACTTTCAGATTTCAAGATTGATCACAGATTGACTTCAATTGAATAAACCTTTAAAAGTACTTAATACTGCGTAGTCTTTTGTCCTTCTTTGGAGCTTTTCATCAGTACACACCCACAACCCTACCCTGGGGTTCGACTCTTCAACCTTCAAATGACTAGCTTGGTTAACAGTTGGATAGAATGCTGGCCCAAGGGATCGGTCTAGGGTTCAGTGATGCAAATACGATGTGACGCAGATTCTCATTTGGTCTTCATTCATCACTCATTTGGGACCAGGCTCATCAATTGAATTGTTTCACGTAGCTAGTAGTCAGGTGGGTACAACCGAGTTGGCGTTATGAGTTGAGTTGGATGGGAGACATTATTAACGAGCCTGGTCTCAAAGAGGCGAAAGAACTGTTTAATATTTAGATCACTTCAATGATCTAGCTAGGAAGCACTTCTCGTTGATATTGGTGGTACCTAGCTACTCATTTCAAACAATCAGTAGTGTACAATCACACTGGAAATAGCTAATTACCCATATAAACATTTGATGTAAACAGGCCAAGCATAAATTCACAAATTCTCTTTCTTTTTATGCTAGGAAAAATGATTTTTAAACATTCAGTTGAATTAATGAAGCCCAATTAATTAAGTGAAACAAGCGCCATTTTGGTTAGTTGGTTAGTTAGCTAATTGTTCCTTAAAAACAAATAAATTCAGTTTACAATACAAATCAGAAAACAGTGACTGTTAGAAATGTATGCTAACGACAAATTATTTTGTTTTAATTTCGTGTAATAATTTTATGGCGGTAAATTTGAATCACTTTGAATCCATATCTATTGCAATATATTCAATTCTAGAATTTTTTTGGATTACAGCTTGATTGCCCACCGTATGTCTTGGTACAGGTATGGAATTTTCAGCATGTGATATCGGTAACCCAAAGTTTGCAGGCCAACCATAAATATCAGGTGTTGGCCGGCAGGGGATCGAACTTCGGCGAGAGTCCTAACCACTGTGTCACCGATGCACTACCCATATTGAACATGTTATTTATGTTCTTCTTGTAGTTCTTGGCTATTATCAATAGCACTAACTTAGAACTTTGAGAATACCCTGAAAGTTAACATATAGCATTCTCATACTTATCCGTCAAATATGTACTAGAATCAGCAATAGTAACACTACCATAATGACAGGTAGAAATATGTTCGCTTTCTAAATCTGATAACGTTCCATGTGTATAATTGTCAACGAGAATGGAAGTGTCTACAGAATGCATCATGACTATTCACCGATTTCCCATTGATATCCAGTTTAAAAATTAAACTTCAACAAAGTGAACAAAAATACATTTTATTACAAATGGTATATACTACTGACTCACTCATATGAGTAGTCTGAAAGCAATTCGTGTCGACCAGTATTCCTTGAAAGTTAGATCAAAGTGGTCAACCACCTGGATGGTCATTTTGTTCATTTGTGGCTAAACACGTCACCAGTATACCTAGTCAGCAGAGTCAGCTTTTGGCGGAATTACTGTTTGAAAAATACCTCTTGAGCCATCTACTCACTACATTTCCGTGTTATTATTATTATCATTATTGTTTTCTTTAATTCCTAGAGGAACATACGGATTCATATGCACGTCTGCAATGAGCTCGGTTCTCCGCCAATGTTTTCATCACCTGGCTCCACGTCTGCCCACATGCTTTCATCTCCTCCTCTTCTATGTCGATCCAACCTCGCACTGATGATGAACTCGCCACTTTACACTTGCCTTCCACTCGAGTGATGGCATTCACTGCGTGTGACGTCACTTGATGATTTGTTTTCACAGAGGATGACCAATCCATCTCCATTTCTTCTTGCATACTTCTCGCACAATCGGTTCCTGGTTGGTCGCTTCACTCATTGCCAGAGATCCCTCACGATTGCTAATCATTTCTGGCCGGCCATCTGATCTTGAGTAGGGCTGAGAAAAGACAGGTGTTGATGAAAGTCTGTAGTTTGTTCGAGGTAGCCTTCGTAACGCAGCGCGGTGCCAAGTCTCTGATCCTTATAGTAGGCAGCACCGAATTCACATTGGCATTGAAAATCTGGATCTTATTTCTCATACTGGTTGCTGTTGACGTCCACACACACACACACACACACACAACATTTTTGTACCTGTTTGAAAATTTGAACCAAACTCGTAATTATTTTCCCGTTTTCTCCTAGACTGCACATCATTTTTCTCACATTTGCATAACATATGTTGACTTAATCCTTATTGTTAGTCTAATTCCGATGCTTTTCGTTGTGGCCGTGCGATCTATGAATATGTCGCTTTATAATGTAATTTTCTTTGAATGAAGTCTAGGTTATTCTAACCACTGGAATGTCAGAAGGAATTATTGGCGTGTGTTTCTTGTAGACAGAGTTTTTGATCCCTCCTTGTTGAGAATATTTCACTCGATTCTTAAATACTCCTTGCAGTTGAATTTCTTTATTTCTTTACGTCCCCAGTGGAATATTAGGCTTCAAGTTAGCGGCTTGAAGTTTCAGAAGTGGTGGTATTAAATTTTACGGCATTGGTTTGCTAGCCAGTCTCATACCAAACCTTCCACCTTTATCGGCCTTATTATTGGCTCAGCAAAGTGAAGCAGTGAGTCAATTGCCAGGGATCGAACCTCGGATCACATGTGTAGTTGACCAACAGTTGAATTTTGATAAGCTTAATCCATTTTACAGTATCTGCTTTGCAATGAAAAAGGTTTCTTTTGCTGTTTTGCTACCTAACAGCATTGTTGAAGTAATTCCGAGTTTCTGGCATTATTATTGTGGAATAGAACCGTTGATTATACAGTGAATAACCGACTTTTTGCTATCTTTAGAGTATTTTCTGACTGTAGATGTCTCTAGAATGTTTTCAACAGCTAGAGAGTACAACACAGAAGTCGGTCTCTAACTTTCAACCCATAATGGGTCGCTTTTGGTTTTTAAAGTACTTACAGGTCATATCATCAGTGGCAAATCAATGTTGCACCCAATCAGAGTTAACTCAAAGAGTGCAGTCAGTTTAATTTTACTCGGATTCTGACAAGCTACTTAAGAGAGATTATTATATTATTATTATTGTATCCTTTAGTTCCTAGAGGAACATAGGGCTTCAGCTGCGCACCTCCATTGCCTTCGGTTTTCTGACAACTTTTTCACCCCACTCCAGGTCTGTCCACATGCTTTCATCTCCTCCTCGCATGACCTCCTCCAAGTCACCCTTGGACGACCAACTCGCCGCCTCCCTTTCAGGTTCCACTCGAGAGCTTGTCTAGTGATGTCACTTGATGGTTTCCTTAGAGTATGGCCAATCCATCTCCATTTCTTCCTGCCTATTTGTTTCGCAATCGGTTCCTGATTTGGTTCGCTCCCAGAGGTCTTTGTTGCTGATCTCTTTTGGCCATCTGATCTTGAGTATTGAGCGAAGACAGAAATACTTAAGAGATACTACTCACACCAGTCAGTGGTATGTGCCATCTGGGTTCCCTTTTTTTGGTAATAATTAAATCAAATATTATGATCTGGGTTTTTCTGAGTTTTCAACATTCACTGTGGGGGAATCTCCACCTCGTCGTGTTTAATTTGCAAACGGAGAATTCTAATTGTATGTCAGTTGGCCACCTGAAAATATGCTAAACTGTGTTGATCGTTCGTTTTCCTTCATTATTCAAGAATCTACAGTTAGAATAATTACTAGTCAATAAATAAAAGATATTTGTAAACAATCACTTAAAGGTTAGAAATCATTGAAAGCTCCATTCAATCAAGCAGTTCCATTTCATTCATCCAGTGGAAACTCCGACAGTTAATAACTGAGTGATCTTCGTTCGATAAACTAAATTTATCAAAACAATAAGTATTCATTTATTCTTTTTTGTATCTAACAGTAGAGTGTAAAATAAAAGCCTCGGCCTATTTAGAACTCATCTAGCCATCTTCTATTGTTTGAAATGCGAAAGTTTAACCTACTGGACTGCTAGTGTCACACTATTCTCCTTGTTACACTGCATTTCAGTGCATAAGGAAGTCATAACTAAAAACTAAATCTCTTAAAATACTTTACTTTTTTCCATTTTTTGTGTTCCTCGTAGAATATCAGGGTGTCAGAGGTTATGTTGCAGTAGTGACGGTGTTATTGTTTCGATGAGGTGGAATCATTAGTCGTACACCACTTTCGCCCCAATCTTTTCTCGTTTAATTTTATAAGTATGTCGATGGGTAATCGAAACGCCACCTCAGTTAAGGTTAAAATTCACTAAGTTTAAAGTCTCTGTATAACCTGAAAACACATGAACACCTGTCACTTTATTACAGAAAGAATGTAGAGAAAATATCGGGATATTATATTTGAGAAGCCTTGTCCACAATTCGTTGTTTTAAAGTAATTCAAGACTAATTTTTAATATTAGGTTAAGGAGGGGATGCGATCATGAACTAAACAAGATCCATGCAAACTCAACCTTTGAAATAATAGAGAAGATTTGTATGTAGCTTAGATGGATGATTTGAAATTAGTTGTGTTCTCTAACCTGGTTGATTGAATTGCGAAGCTCTTGTCGTTCCCCCAATAGATAACATCTTCAGCACAGGTTTTAGCATAAAATAGAAATAAATTCTGCATGAATGATAGAACTGCATCTCCTGACAACAATCATCTTCCTGACTGGTAGTTGACTTCCATCTCTACTCATCACTTTTATTGACTTGGAGTTTCAACTTTCTTGTCACATGATTTACTGTTTATTAGCACAGCTGGTAAATTTGGTCTCTGTTAATGTGTTTGTTAATCTCTTTCTAATTCCTTAGAGTACCAACCAGGCTTCTAGGAATTCCCTGACTGCCATTTCGGTGTTTCTTTTATTTAAAAGGTCTAAATTATTTCAATCATCAGATTGGTGTCCATGGTTATGCGCATTTATTGATATGAAAGAATGTGTCTTTTTACAACTGATCTGAGTTCTTGAATTCGGATTCAAAAAAGGACGCCAACTTTCACCGATGTAATGTCTGTTGCAGTTCACACATTTTACCTACTTTTACTGTTGAATCTTTCTGTTTGTACGATATCGAATGAAGTGATTGTGTTGACTGACTGGCTGACGATCTTAGTATCATAGTCGTTATTTCAGAGATATTTCTAATCTATGGTAGAGTGAATTTTCTTGTAGTCTTTGACGATATTTTCTTGTTGATGTTATGACTCTAGTTTAAACACTTTTCGATGAAATTGTGAAGAAATCCATCCTTTCTGAAGACGGTTATCGGACATTATTTCTTCTATTCTCTTCAGCATCAGAGTTCTACATTGTGTTTGAACTCTTTTTAAAACGGTTTCCTTTGTGAGTGAGTAATTGGGTTATTATTATTATTATTATTGCAGTTAGGGAATTCCTGGAAGCCTGGTTGGTACTCCAAGGAATCAGCCTGAGATTTACAAACACATCATGATAGATAAGTGCGTCGGTGGCACGGCGGTTTCGACGCTCGCCGACCATGTACATGGTCCGGGGTTTGATCCTCGGCCACTGGACGCACTCCTTTACCTCGCTAAACCAGAAATAATGCTGGTAAAAAGGAATGGTTGGGCATGAGACTGGCTAGCAACCCATCCTGTAAAGATAAACACTGCTGCAGAAACTTCAAGCCTTCTAGCTTGAAGCCTTATGTTCCACTGTGGGACGTGAAGGAAAAACAAGATAAATAATGTGACAAGAAATTTGAAACTCTCAGGCAATAAAAATGATCAGTAGAGATTTAAATTCACTACCAGTCACGAAAATGATTGTTGTTAGGAGACATAATTCTATCATCATCATTCATTGAGAATTCAAAAATTCAAAATGAGTTCATTTTGTGCGCTGAAAAGGGATGTTGTCTTGAAAAGGGCCGACGAAAGCTCTGAAATTAAACCAACCATTTCTTCAGAGAATACAACTAATTGCAGAACTCAACAGGAAAGTTGTTTCTGAACATAGCTGTTCAAATTTGTGTCAGTGTTTTCTTTGAATGTCTATTGGTTTCCTAAAATGAAGTCGACTTTCATAACATGTTAACAGTGAAACTTTTTATTGACAACAAATAGATTAAACGTTTATAATTTTCCTAAAACATAAATCAGACTATGCAAGAAAGAAGAATTATTTTCAATAGTTTAATTATTCAGGCAATATTAACTTACCTTAGCCAAATCGACCAAAGTATTCGCTGAATCCTGCACTTTCCTCTGATCCATTTTCATCCGTCTAAGACTTTAAGGCATAAATGGAAGGAAAATAGAAGGTTTTCATAGTAAATGCCTTTAAATGATTCATTAGGTATATATATATATCCCGACCGAAAGCTGCTACCTTTTTTTTTGATTTACAGCTTGATTCCACACTGTACTTTTGGTACAAGTATGGAATTTTCAGCATGGATGTCGGTAGCCCAAATTTCGCAGGCCGACCATAGATATCAGGTGTGCGCCGGCGTGGGCTCGAACCCCGGACCATGTGCATGGTCGGCGAGAGTCCTAACCACTGTGCCACCGACGCACCTTGACGTGGTGGTCGGGCTTGAACGCCGTAATGACCTAATCAAGCTATACTGGCTGAGACTTATGTCTCTTGAGGTCCTACCATTCCAGGAAGGTTGTTTGGATAGCGGTTAAACAAAAAGCAGCTACCCAATCCAACATCATGATCAATACAAAATCACAAAATTTCATGCCGGATCGGCCGTGGCCCGGATTAACAACGACCGCGCTTCCTGTTGCCGTGTCACAGGGCAAGAGTGATAAGTATGCTACTGAGGCACACCAAACAACGAACAAAAACAGGCCGCGTGTGACCGGCCTCAAGCAGTTGTCCCCTGGGCTCTGCGGTCACGCAACCAACTTCCACGGTGTAGGCAGCCGGGAAGTACCAATCGCCCTCACAATCCGAAACGCACGCGAAACCTCTCTATTACTCACTCATCTTTGTTTTCATCTTCATCTCTATCATCTTGCCTTCCTTCCACTGATGCAACTCCTCGACTTGATAGCTCTCCACTTCTTCTCCACTCTGCATCCACTAAAAACGATGGAAGCCAAAAACCACCACCGACAGCCTCTTAAAGCCGCGCCGCCAATTTCTCTCTTGCTTCGCGTGCTACACGGAGTGTGGCGACTTGAACTTCCGCACATTTGTGCAAAGTTCCATGTCGAAAACAGATATATATATATATATATATATATAACTTCATGCATTTATTGCCTTTAGTGAATTTGAATAAACCGAGAACAACAGTGTGATTTGCACGGTATAATATGGTACCATAATTTATTTCGTTGCCTTCTCATCAGCTGCTTACAGTTCAAATAAATTATGCGTTTTATGTAGATAAAGGTTTTAACATACTTACGAATTTTTCATGATGTCAGTTGACAGCAAGTTCCACAGTTAGTGAACAATGTTCACAAAATTCCGCTTATACAGGCTTTACACAGGCATGCATACAATGGTGAAGGAGTTAAGTAATAAAAACGAGAGATGCTCAGGATGTTGAGTGATTAATAAATTAGGTATAAATATACTGAGTTCAACTCAAATCAAATACAAGAGACAAGCGAAGCCAAGAATTACGTAATCAAATGAAAGAAAGAATAAAGACATCTAGTTACCAGACTGACAAGGAAAGACTAATAACTGCTTCTTTCTGAATACATAAATCTGACAGAAATTGCTTCATCAAATTTGAGGGGAATAGATCTCTTTTGTCTATTGATGATTTCAAAGGATTTCGCGATTTCCACCTTATGACCAATATCGAGGAGATGTCTGCTTATAGCGCTATTATAAGAGTTTGTTTCCTTGAAATGCGGGCTTTTCGCCACTTGTTCAGAAAATCGAAGGTGTGATCTTCTTTCTGTCGTCCAAAAGTAAGTGGTTCCGCAGATACGTGTAAATTCACTAACTGCAGATCTTTCTGTCAACTAACATCATGAAAAAATTCGCAAGTATGTTAAAACGTTTCTGTACATAAACCTCATAATTTATTTGGGCTGTGAGCTGTGTGGCTGATCAGAAGCCAACAAAATGATTGATGGTACCATATTATACTGCGCAAACCACTGTAGTTCTTGCTTTATTCAAATATTTTGTCTTACCTCTTTCTTCTTTGTTTGTCTATTTCTTAATTGCATTATTTTCTACCGCCACCCTTTATTAAATCTCTACGCTCATGACTACAGTTGCTAACTCGATTTTCGTTTATTTTTAAGTGAATTCTACTCAGATTATTAAACTTGACTCTCATTCATTTTTTCATTGAATCCTATCAATTAGATTACGTCACCCAACCTACTTTTGTAACTTTATTTCAGTTTCTAACCGATTAACGCCTTCTAAATTATGTAATTTGTTTGCCAAAAATTAAAAATTGCATTAACACATATTTGGAAATATTCCTTTTGTTGCCAAGACAAATTACTATAAATTTGCGATTTGTATAACTTGAGAATGATATCGCCGAAAAGAGTAACTCTTTGCTGAAAACCTTTTCTTATATATATATATAAGTTTATTACTATGTGTGTCGGTAGCACAGTGGTTAGGACTCTCGCCGACCATGCACATAGTCCGAGGTTCGATCCCCTGCCAACGCACACCTGATATCTGTGGTTGGCCTGCGAAATTTGGGCTACCGATATCCATGCCGAAAATTCCATACTTGTACCGAGAATACAGTGTGGAATGAAGTTGTAAATCAAAAAATATTATTCCCATGAGTTTCGAGGAGAACAGTGCACCTCAGCACCACATCTTCATTCCCCTCTTTTCTCTGATGTCTACACGACAGCGCATAAGCTTACATTTCCTTCTTCATACACGATTCTGTCCAATTCACCTTTAGAACCGCGGCTGCCTCGTCTTTTCCCATTTGAGCCCAACTGAACGGTATCCATAGCCCGTGTCAAATCTATATGGTATATATGCACTACTGATCAGTGTTTTTAGTAGTGAGAAACTACTCTTATCAACCGACATGCCTTTAAAGAAATTAGTTCCCTTTATGAATTTCAGCAACACAATAAAAAGACGTAGTTTATCTGAAACGTGTAATGTTGTATTGACGCAACACATTTTGGACATTCTGATCACACACACACGAGTACTTGTCATACACAGTTTTTTATAGAAGGCATGAATAATTACAATACAGATCAGATTGTGTACAGGTCAAGGTCACAAATAATGGGTACGGCGACGCAAAAGGTGTGAGTAAGAAAGATAAAGAGGGGAAAAAACAAGGCAAAGAAGGTGTTTGAAAATATTACGAAGTAAATTGGTCCTTATTTCTAAATTGGATTACCAAGGCAGGTTTAAAGGTGGTAACAAATAGCTTTTGGACAGATAAGACAAGTTAAAGTCTTTTTATGGCTATGTGTTGAGGGAACTGCTCACCAAGAAGGCAGATTTAGATTTTATTTTCTACAGACGCGCTCCTGGACCTCACTTGATTTACGGGGTGGTAATTTGGCCACACAAAGGCGGGAAGGTTGACAGTGGCAGGCGCTACCAACCACATAGTATAAAAATAAAATCACCCTTACTGAAACTGTAAATCCTAAAGCACTGCTGTGTTCTCCTCAGAAGGAATTTTTTCCCACAATAAATTGATTACGTAACTTTTTTCCATAAGAAAAGTCCTCTAGACAAGCTATAACTAGTTTTAGAAAGAAGACTTAGTGAAAAACGCAAAGTATTTCATAAAATGACTCAAGAAATATATTTTTTGTAAACAATTGATTTAACCTCACCAAATTTCTCAGAACTTTAATTATTGATTGATCAGACTCTTTTATCTCTTCCTCCCATGATCTCCTCCATGTCACCCCCGGACACACCTCCATTCGGATTCCACTCGAGCGATGGCCTTGCGTGTGATGTCATTCGGCGACCCTTCTCAATCTGTGCCAGATCCATCACCAGTTTCTCCTACATATTTGTTAAGCAGTCAACTCTTAGTTGGCGTGTTCCACTGCAGAGTTTCTTCTTGCTAATTCTTTCTGGCCATTTGATCTTCAGTATGGAGCCAGCCAGCCCGCCAGCCAGTGAAGGTGGCATCTGTCGTTGAAAGTCTGTCATAGGCTGTTGGAAATCCTTCTTTTTTTAACATGCTCAGCAAGTTTCTGACCCATATAGAAGGACCGAATTCAAAATGTTTGTGTTGAAAATGCGAATCTTGTTCCGTATGCTGAGTGCGGAAGATTTCCAAACTGGTTCCAGGTTGATGACGGCGTATCTTGCCTCTCCGATTCAGGCTTACTTTGATGTCTTCATCCGTTCCAACTGCCTGTAGTTGTCACAATGCTTCCTAGCCGGATAAATGAAGGACGCAACCTCCGTTAAACTGCTCCCGTTAATGGTGATTGGTGCTGGTTGTTGTTGTTGTTGCTGTTGTTGCCGTTGTTCGTTGGTTATCTTCATCTCCCCGTCTTCACTGTGACCCGGAGGGTTCACCAATAAAAAAAGGTCAAGTGAACAATAACCTAAGGCATTCTATCATGATCAGAGACTTGGCGCGTTATGAAGAGCACATCAAACAAACTACAGACCGTCATCAACGTCTGTCTTCGCTCAAGATCAGATGGCCGTCTAGAAACGATCAGCAACAAGGATTTCTTGCAATGGGCAAAACCAACCCACCAGGAAGAGATTGTGCAAGAAATATGCAGGAAGGAATGTAGGTGGATTTGCCACGATACTCTGAGAAAACAAACCATCTAGTGAGTGACATTACACGTAATGCAGACCATCACTCGAGTGGAAGGCGAATGGGAAGCAGCGAGCTAGTTGGTCGTCAGTGCGAGGTTGACATGGAGGAGGAGGCGGAGGTGATGTGAAGGGGAGATGAAATCATGTGAGCATACATGGAACCAGGTGAAAACGTTGGCGGTGAACTGAACTGAATAAAGACGTTTGGCTAAATTTCTATGTTCCTTTATGAACTAAAGGAAGCAATAATTATAATAACCTACGGTAACTATTCAATATAATTGATTCTTAACCTTAAACCCATCAGGTAATCCTTATCTAATTGATTATATTTTACCCAAGATTAGTGTTAATTAACATCCGCCTAACTTTTAAATCCTTACTTCTAATTTGGCTTAATTTTTATTTGACCTCATATTGGCATCGTTTCCCCATACAAAAAATTGTTTATGTAATCAAGTTGTTCTCATTGTATTGACCTCACCAAAAAAAGGCAAACGATACATCAC